GGATTTTGTATGTGTTGAGGAGTTTGTACGTGCTATTTGGAATTTGTAAGTGTTTTGGAGTTTATACATGCTTTGTCTCTAGGGGCCACCGTACAAAACAACAACCAAAACCCCCCTTTAGCTAAAAATCAAACCAAGTACTCTCTAACCAAAACAAAATACAATGGCTGAGCTTCCTGTCTAACCAAAAACAGGAGAAAACAGTTGAAACAAAAATGGCAATAAGGGCACACCTTTGCTTACAATAAAAAAAAGAAAACCAAAGTTTCACAGAGTTTAAGTTCTCTCCCTCTCTCTCTCGCACACACACACACACACACACACACAAAGACCCGCTGCCCAAAACACTATAGCTCACAGCTCTGGCAAAAATGGGGGAAGTGGCAGGGGTGTGGCAGTTTAGGATGGCAGACTATATGCCATCCTATATGCCCTGCGGAGGGAGAGCCACTAGAGGTCAGCGACCGTAACATTAACTATTTAAACATCTTTCAGTATCCTGCTCTGTTTGCACACTACAACCTGGGTTTTCCACTTATCTGTACTCTAATTTGTATAACTGTACAGTACTCTGCTTTGGTAACTATTGTCCAAGATGTAAAATATGTAAAAATTGTGTTTCTGTTCTGTGTCCTGTTCTGTTTGTATATGTGCTTTTTTGCTGCTAATACAACCAAATTTCCCCTTGTGGGACAATTAAAGAATTATTCTATTATTCTATTCTATTTATATAGTCCATAGGTAAATAAAATAAAAAAATGTAAATGTCAAAAAGGAGAATAGACAGAAAAGGGTTTTTCGAAATGTTTTAAAGGTTACTGTAAAATTACTCTGTTATGAAGGCAAAATTAATAAATGCTACCTCCAAGTGGCAGCACGGCTCTAACAACTTAACCACATATAATAGAAGCATAAAGCCCCTTTTTAAAAACTTGGTCCTGGCTTCATAGGTTCCAGTATGACTTAATATACAGCAATATTCCCTATATTCACCTTCCTTGAATTCTGGTTTAAGTCTTCATTGTGGTCTTATTCCCGAGGGAAATAAAAGCAGCCAAAAATAGTGCTTTGAAAGAGGTGAGACTGAAACAAAACTGTAATACTGCAGGTTTACAGCCTGCAGTTAAACAATATGAAACAACAGATTCTGTGAAATTGGTATTAGCTAATGATTCAGAAAATTCTGCAAATGTATAATCCTGAGCAAATGCTTTCATGTGTGACATAAAATATCTTTGCCGTTCCAACTATTCTCTCCCAGACTTTGGAATAGCACCGTACAGTGTCTCTATTTATTTTGGCCTTGGTACTTTTAAAAATTGTGGTGTGCAAGATCAACAGAAAGCTGGGAGCTAATTGGAAACAATTTGGCTGTGAGATTGTGGCCTTTTCCTCAGTAACCCATGGGAATTTTAAATGTGACTCAAAGGTTGCATTATTCAGCTGGTTTAAATCAAGATACAACACATCTGTAAATTATGGACATCTTATTAGTTTGGAGCCAAACAGCTATTATTCTGATATAATGACACTCAAAATAACAGACATTGTAGACTCTAAATTATGGTTGGAACAATAATAAATTGGTTACATGTCAAAAATGGGGTGTTGCTCAATCGTGAGGTTGAATGCCAGTAAAAGAGATAATATTTCCTAACCACAAATTAATCTGTTAAAGTAACAATTAAAATCATTTTTGCTGGATGTTTTTTTATGTATGTATTTATTAAAGTGTGTGTGTGTGTGTGTGTGTGTGTGCGTGCTAAAAACACAGATGGTTTGTTAAAAGTCTACGACATGGGGAATCTAAACAACCCATAAAAATAGTTACCGTAGGAACAGAGGCTATTCAGCAAAAAGATGCAGCTTCAGCTTTTCAGGTCCAGATCCACTTACTAGCACTCTGCAGCAACATCTCTGTTTGCTGAGCAACACTGTCAGGCAGAGAATTAAATTATCATAAACATAAAACTATTTCAAAAGCAAAGTATTAACGTCCAGCAATGATTTTAAAGTAACCCTCCAAAAGTTGATTCTGTTCATCTGGACGTAGCGTTTTCTGGGAGAAACGTTTCGTCACTCATCCAGGTGACTTCTTCAGTCTGAGAAGAAGAGACTGAAGAAGTCACTTGGATGAGTGACGAAAACATTTCTCGCAGAAAACGCTACGTCCAGATGAACAGAATCAACTTTTGGAGATTTATTTTCCTGGAATGCATCAGGAGATTTTAAAGTAAATTTCATATAAATAACTTAGACGATATTTAAATGTGTTGTTATTTTAGAAAATATGGAAGCAAACATGTGGTCGAACATGAATGTAAGAAAATGGATGGATTTCTTTACACTATTTGTTATCTGTATATTATCTTGTTTTGTGAACTGCAAGAAAGACAAAGACTTAAAACCAAGTGACTCCTGGAATAACAACACTTGCTGACTTTTTAAACTTAGTTAAAGCTTTTCTTCAGTTAGAAAAGCGATCAGCTACATCATTATTAACACCTTACTAGTATTGTGTTGCTCTGACCTATCAGGGCATGGACACAACACCACTAGACTATCCTGTGATGTCTGGAACCAGAGCACTTGCAGTGGTTCCTTTGGATCCTGTGGGTTGGCTTGAGTTTTGCTGGGGCCACCGATGATGAAGTGTGCTCTGGCAGATCTTGTAGATATTCATTTGGTTTGGGATCTGAAGAATGTGGAGGCCAGACTCAGAGCCTGGGGTTCTTGGTGTTTCTACTGCTATTTTTGCCATGCATTGGGATGCATTGCCCTGCTGTAGAAGAATGCTGCCCCATATTAAGTTGATAGTAGAGGTAAAGGTAACAACCACACGAAAGCCAAAAGTTCATCCAAAGTTCACTTCTCATAGGTTTTGATGTTCAGACTGTTGTTTTAAGGCAGTAGTTTATTGTAACATAATGCTCATTCGAATATGCTTAAATCATATTGTTTTTCTATTGACCGCTGTGTATTAGCGATGCATGCGACTGTTTGCAGCAGTTCTTCTCTGCAGCCTTGTGATGGCAGCATAATTCTTTGAAATCTACACAATGCCCTGAGCTTCATAATAGAGTGCAGATTGTGGAGAAATGCTGCTTGTCCCTGATAAACTACCACCTGCTAGTGAGTTAGCTGTTACCATGAGAGACCATGTTATTTCTTAGATGATCGAAATGCATTGGTTATTAGAGACATCTTAAAACAAATGCAAAAGTATCCCCTCTTTGTTTGTTAATGTTTTTGCTGGGGGTGTAAAGTTATATGTCTTTGGTTTATTGGCTCCAATACCAAATAGAAATTCTGGCATTCTTGTTTTAAACTGTTTACCTAAATGTCCACTTTGGATTGGAAATGGGATCAACTGTAACTAAACACATATAACAGTGGACTAAAGCTCCTTCAAACTTCACTCCCCTCCTTAGCATGTAGCCACTAAGGAAATCACAGACGGACAATCCCTGCAAGAACTTTCACACCTCTTACATATGTTATATGAGAGACGCAGTGCAAGAATGGTGTGGACTGAGGATCTATTTTAGTGAGCCACTCACATGAGCACTGGAATCTATATATCTACCCTCTTTCTTTCCTTCTAGTCTCAGAAAAAGACGCCTGTGAGTGTTTGTCACCTGCTGTAGAAGGTAAGGATTTTATTTTGAAATACAGGAGAATCAAGGGATAAGGAAATAAAAAACATGTGTTGCAATATATTCAAACTGTTCTTGCCATTCTGAATTTATCAGTATTTTTAAAAATGGATATAATAATTTTTACTCTAAAACAGTATTTACGTTATGATATTATGTTGTCATTTACTAAGACCAGGTTTCATATTTTTTATTAAAACGACAAATATACTTGTGAGTCAAAGAGGGGACTGTTTTTTTTTCTAAATCTAAGATCTGTGGCTTCTCACAGATGTCCGAGTTGAAGTTATGACTAACACACAACAGTGTCCATTTGATTTATGTGTTTTACGTTCACAAATCTTCTCCTCTTTAGTCTTTGTGTATGTTTCCTTTTTTCAGAAATAACCTGCCAGGTTATTGTAACCTTTTTTGGATTTGTTTGAGTGAGGATTTTTTTAAGTCACACGTTTGACCTTTTGACAATGTCATACACTGTTTATGTCGCCTTCTATGTATACCCAACCCACAGTAGCTACAACAGTCAATGGGCTGAAACGTGAAAAGTATCCTTCTGGAAAAAAAAAATACAGATGTTGTTCTAACTTTGTTTTTCTTATATTTGCAGATTAAACGAGGGGGAACACAAGACTGCAACCATGTCTGAAGCGTACGTATAACCTTTAAGTTTCAATACACGTTAGCATTTGCTATGTGAGATTCTAATCTAACCAAAGCATCTCCTCTCCACCTATTTGCATCCTTGCTCCAAACTTTACAGGCCTTCGGTGAGTTGATTTCAGTTGTCAGTAATGTTAGTTGTCAATGAGATGGCTTAATCGATTGGATTAAAACTAGGCAACACACCAGCTATGCCTTCAACACTTTAACCCTGTCTTGAATGCTGACATTAATGAGTGAATTCTCTAATCTAAATATTAAAAAATAATGAAAATAAGTGCAAAACTGAGCATTTAACAACAATTCATTCAATACATTCAAGGCCAAATGAATAAAATGAACATTGTCTTCTTTTCCAGAAACCAAAGCCAAAAATCTCTGCATCTCGCAGGCTGTTCTTGAAGGTATCTTTTGTCTAACTGTGTATTAATCTTAGGAATTCATATTCTTGAAGCACTGTAAACCATATACTGTGTGTTTGACTGAGGTGTCATCCTGTATGTGCACCAGACAAAACTGCTAAAGAAGGCCATGACTATGCTGGAGAACGAAAAACAATTCAAAAAAGATGAACGAGAGAGGATCCTTGCTGAGAGAGTGCCAGACCTCCAAATATCCGGTCTGTCTTTGCAGGACCTACAGGTACATGTGTCAAATAGCAGGAACTTTTTTTGGATTGTGGCATAACAAAAATTGACATAAAATCAGGAAACTATAAAAACTCTGGTCATTTTTTCCCACCTACTTTGGGTAATATCTGGCCACAAGGAATTACTGATAATTTATTTTCTAAGGTCTTGTGATATCTATAACCAAGAATTTTGCTGGCACACAAATTCAGTTACTGTGTTTATAATTTAGTTTGTGGTACTGAGGGCATTGGAAAATGACATTTTAAAACCTCAACAGCAATTCAAGCAATGCCTCGCTTTAGCAGAAGAATCCACAGACCTCAATGTCAACAGTTTACCATTATGACCATTAGAAAGTATTCCCAGTGAAAACTACTCACACAGACTGTTTATATCAATCTGTGGATCAAACAAACTTATATAGATGAATTTATTTTGTATTTTATCACCAAGGCATTGCACATATATGTGTTCCAGTGTCTCTTTGTATCGTTTCTTGTCAGTTTTTCCCATTAAATTATTAAAACCAATTAGATAAAAACTTGTTTTCACATCAGGTCTAATACACTTAAATCTTCTATTCACAGAATTTTTGCAAGCAGCTACATCAGAAGATTGACGTGGTTGATGAGGAGCGCTATGATATTGCTCTTAAGGTGACAAAAAATGACAAGGAGGTAAGTATTATTTGCAAATAACCAACCAAGTATTTTAAGTACAATCTTATAGGATGCATACGGACAATAAAAAGTTCAATAAATTAATCCTGAGGATGTTTTTTTTTGTTTGTTTTAAAAAAAAAATCTGTGTTGGAAAAAAGATACAGGATCTGTCTCAAAAGATCTTTGACTTGAAAGGCAAGATGAAGAGACCCAATCTGAGGAGGGTGAGGGTGTCTGCTGATGCAATGCTGGGAGCTCTGCTGGGCTCCAAGGTCAAAGAGTCTGTGGACTTCAAGGCCAACCTCAAGACTGTGAAGAAAGAGGAGGAGAAGGTAAGTGGAGCAATATATATGTTAATTCACACTATTTTTTAGGAGTCCCGAATGTAAACAACAATGTAAATACACTATTAAAGTATGCCCATATTCTGCCTTTGAAACTAGTGCATGTGAAGTGCTACAAAGTTCAACAGTGTGCTAGGCACTAAGATTTAGTGCAATGAAAATAAAGACATACCTGCAGTGTTTGATATTAAAAAGCATGTATCCCCACCTCAGTATGAATTTAACTGCACTAACTGTACTATCACCCTGCAGAAAGAGGAAGTGACTGACTGGCGTAAGAACGTGGATGCCATGTCTGGTATGGAGGGCAGAAAGAAGCTGTTCAATGCTGGACAATAGATTTAAAATGAATATCTGGGTTAAGATGTCTGTTAAGAAACAGGTGGATGCAACGAACTGCATTAACTTTATAATGATTATAATTCTGACACAGCTCATGTTGTGAATATACAGACAGTAGTGAGGCATCAGTAGTGTCTTTAGGACAATTGTCTCTTAATATATATTTTTCCCATAATGAAAAAATGTGTATTAAACATATTAGAGCACTACATTGCTTTTTTAGTTTTTTTAGCCTATATCTGAATTAATATTGATTGCCTGTGTCACTTCAATAATATCGCCCTGCTTTTTGACTTTGTTTATTTATTTAAAAAATCGCCCATATTTACAGAAAACCAGATGAGCATATGACAAGAAATCTTTCATGTGTCCTGCTTATGTTCTGCCCATGTTGTCTGAAAAAGCTTGTGCTCTTTTGCTATACTGAACTGATTAAGACCGTGAATGCACATTCCAGGGGCAGCTAATGCTGGAGTCAACTGTTCATGAAGTCCTTGTATGAATGTGGTATTAATTAAACTAATGAGCAAAGCATTGTCATAATCAATCAAATAATAAAATCTCTTTAACATTAAGCAGAAATCATTGTTCTCCTTTCAGTACTGTTTAAGAATGAATCACGCTTATAGTCTCTGTGTTTATCAACATAAACTTCAGAATTGTGAATTGATATGTTAGACATTTGCTTTATCCAGAATTTATTGTAGTGTTAAAAAGACGTCACGTGCAACTCATAATTTTTAACAAGGTTTTCTGGAAATTGTATTAGCCTAATGGTTCTCAAACTCGAAGGCTCCTCTCCGAGTTCATGCGTCACACCCAACAATTTGCATCAGTCATTAACAATAGAAAAGAACCCAAGGTCAGCATGATCGCATCCAAACATCATCAAATGCTTATTTTTTCTTTAAAAATACATTTTTATTCATATGCAATGATGTGCAAAAATCTTTTCCTCTAATTTCTTTAAATAGTCATTGGTAACACTTATTCCGCTTGTAGGACATTCAAAGCTCTTCTTTGGATGTTGGCTGACTTTTGATCTGTTCTCTGTCAATGTTGATCCTATGCTGCTTCAATAATGTTGAGCCTGTTCTCAATGAGATGCTTTCTAGGTGATATTTATGGCAGTTCAAAATCTGCATTTCTTATTCCTTCAATGTTGAGAAGATCCCCAACACCACTGGCTGAAATGCAGCTAGAAAAAATGACAGAGTCCACCGTACGGATGGCTGTAGGCATTCACTGTTGTACTTTGCTCCTGACTTCCTCTGTACAGATGGATGTCTCAGGTCCTGTGCCAGGCCAACTAAAGAAATTGGAACAAATTCTATGTTTTTCCATCAGACTGGAAGTAATAGAGTGCATAAAGATCCATCACAGGACAGAATGACTACAGACCTGTCGCCTTGACGTCT